AAAAAAAAAAAAGAAAAAAAAAAACATCGTGCGTTTAAGAATTTATTTAGTACCATCACGCATCTTAAAGTATTTCCAACGAGGATTCGAAGTCGTGGTGTTTGAAAATGACAAGTACATTCACCTCTGCTTTATCGTGATTTTGCTTTATTTTTAAAGACTTCCTACCTTTTTATATATTTACGTTCTTTTTTGAGTGATAATCTTCCTTTACCAGCTGATGATCATGATCATTAATTTTTACCTGATCTCAGGAGGTTGGCTGCTTGTCTCCAACGTTGTGATTGACGAGTCATCCTCATCACTTCAGTTGTCACTCGAGACAACATACCGAGGAATTAGCAACTATCACAACAATAAAACGTTTCTAACGACAAGTGCCATGCATGAGCTGAGAACACACTTGGCATTCACTCAACTGAGATTCTACTGCAGTAAGCTGCAGGGCACGCGTACTTTCCATGTGACCACGGTCACTGACAGCATTGGTCAAGCAGTGGTCGAGTATTTCAGCGGTCAGACGGATGTCCAGCCCATCGCTTGCGGGTCGTTTGTTACAATGGAGAATGACAACTCGAGATTAGCAGGACAATGTCATCTTTGGGGGAAAGAAAATGGTGTGCTTCGAGTTGGAAAATGGGGTCATGGCGAAGATCAAGACAGACTATTTCGCTTCACAATTTTTAATCATGCCAATTACTACTGGCTGTTTCTTCCCGATGGCTCAAAAGTTCGCTGTGACGACCTCAGCGATGCTGTGTCTTCTGGGGATTTTTGGAAAGTCTTTGTTCGTTAAGGACTTTAAAAAAATGACTGCTTATAGTCCTTGGCGTTTTTCTGTGGGGAAGTAAACAGGTCGGAAATGGACATGATTTTCTACGGGAATTGAGTGTCAAATATACAACTTCCTATACTGTTGATTATATGTTATACCTTACCAACAAAAACCTCTAATCAGATGTCAGATACTCTTATCCATTTCATGTAGTTGTAAGTCAGTTAATAGATCGGGAATAGCAGGGATTCAGTAGTGGTGGCATGAATAAATAAGGATTCTTTGCCCGGGAGGGGGACTCTCATACAACTGAGGTGCTCCTCGGAACTTATGAGAAAAACCCCTAAGAGGTACTAAGATCCTGTTTTGTGAGCGTGGCTTGAAATTTTTTCCAGCCATGAGAGGTGCCAATTCTCTCAGTGAAACAACACATTATCCCCTGTCATATTTTTTTTTTCGCCTCAATACCCTAAAAGGTACCTTGTTGAGGATGAGCACCCTAAGAGTTACCAAAACCACTTTTTAACCCCTAAATGGTACGACGAGCGTCCCCACTTGGACGGCTACAAGAAACACACGGAATCATGTCAATCAAAAAAGTGCTTTTTATTTTTCCCTGCCCGGTTATACAAAATGATCTCTACGAGGTAATATTCCCTTAATTATCACAGATGTGAGATGCTTTATTTATTTATCGTTATTTTGGAGAATATCCTTAACAATAAGAATCACATTTAAAACGAAAACTTTTCTCTCCTGATTTTGTGTCGATGTGTTAAAAACTTACATTAATACGCATATTCAAGCAATGTCAGAGCATTGACACTGGCTCAATTACATCTCAGCGCAGGCCGACACTAATAAGCCTGTTGCTGACTTCGTTTGGGTCATGAGCATTGACGTTGAATGCCACGCCCTTGTAACCGTTCTTATTGCTCGATGTACGAAAGTACGGTGAGATTTTATCATCGCACCAATTTTCACAGGTCTTGTAGCATTCACCTGTGTAACCGGAGATAAAGAAGCCAGAGTATTTCATCGTCGAGCTGCTTTTCTTATCGCAGATGAGCAGCTGGTAAGAGAATGCCTCGTCTGCTCCCACGCTATCCCACAATCCATAGGTAACAGCAGCCTTCCCATAGTTCTCAGCAACCTTCACGGTCTGTCTGGTTTGTCGCTTGAAGTAGGTCTTGTTTCCGGTTTCGTGATCAATGAACATAATTTCTTTGAACTATAGGTAAAGAATACAATAGCTATTCATTAAAGAAATATTCATTTCCTGCTTGGAATGAGAACGTTATTACCCTACCTTTTTGTCACTGCGGTTGAAATCCTAGCGATTGCTATACGGACCAAGACGATATTAAAGGAATAAAAATAAACGATTTAGAAACTGAACTGCTGCAGTTCGCTGATGACGCAACTGTTGTCTTATCAGATTTAGATTTTGCGCGAGCTTTGTTTGTATTGCTAGGTTGTTTTGAGAAAGTCTCTGGGCTAAAACTTAACGTTGCGAAAACAGAAGCAACGTGGATCGGCTCTCTCCAAAACTATGAAGATGAACCACTTGGAGTCAAATAGAAAGGTTTTAGGCATTTTCATTACATATGATGTACAGATACTAGTCAAGAAAACTTTAAGCAAAGGCTGAAAAAAATCAGAAATATAATAAATTCATGGAAGTCAAGGGGTTTGTCAATTCATGACGAGGTTAATATTATAAAAGCAATAGTAGCGTAGCCAATCAGGCATTAGTAATAGAACGCTAGTAGACATACTAAAACTGGATAATACTCTCGGGCAGCTCAACATTTCTCTTACTTCAAATGGCTTTAATTAAATGTGAAAGGTACTACCAAGTATTGAACAGTAGGTATGCATTTCGAAGTACAAACTCACATTAGTTAAGTTGCACGAATACACATAAAGCAGAGAAAAGAAAAGCACAAATAACTCACAGAAATGTTGTTACAGTTGGTCCTGTAGCCGTCACTTCCATAAGGAAACTGAGTGCTGTATGTGACTTCAGTCTTGGGTTCGGCAGATTCATCAGTACTGTAACACATGGTCCATCCTCCATTGTATGACGTCATGTCACAGTAGGCCTGGAATGCGTTTGAACGGCTTCCTGCATCCGGGTACAACCAGTACAAGCCGTCACCCTCAGAACGACCTTGATTCCTTATATCTTGACAGTCAACCGGTGGTGCTAATAGCAAATATAAAACACTACCCCAAAAGGCTGTGGCTGGTTTCCATAGCAACCATTTTGAGTAAAACTTTCAAAATTTAATTTATCTCCTTGAGTGAAATAGCACACAATTGATCTTTCTTCATCATATTTAAACAAACTTTTTGGTCCATTCTAGGGTACCATATCACCTTAATACATGCATTTCGATTCATTTTCCTGCTAAAAGTCCAGCAAATTACTGATTGCCTCCAGACTTAGAATGAAACAGGCAGGGTAAAACACAAAATATTAATTTCTGAATATTCGAAAGGTAACCCTTTGTTCAATTATGTATACATCAGCTGTGCTTCAACAGTAGCCTGCATATAACGTATGTTTAGTTAACAATCGACCATCGTCCATGGAAAATATAAATATGGTCGATTTTTTTTCCCTATAGTTCTTAAGAGCAATTCTCCAGGAAAGTGAAGCAAAGTTGGAAATGAAAAATTTTAACCCCTCTTCAATTTTTGTGTGGAGGTAGGTTACCTTGGGAGATAAACAAAAACAACCATATTTGGATCGGCAGATGTATCGTTGCCATGGTAACCGCACTAGCTGACGTCGGCCTCAGGACCATGTTTTGAGCTAAAGTTCCACTCTCAAAAGGTAAAAGTAAACGAGTGTGGTTCTCGGGTGCGTGGGAACAAATTCAAATAAAATTCATACAGATGGTAGAGGCACTCTTCCAGTTTATAAAATTCGCCGTTAAAATATTTTGGGTTTTAT